TAATCAAAAAGAAGATAAATGAAAAAAATAGCACTGGCTCATTACAAAACACAATGACTGATTCAGTAGTTATCTCGCCAAAAATAAACATTCTCCACATATGCATCTACGTAGATGTATTATTCACATAAAGACACACAAATATCACTTTGCAAAATATCAACCAAACATGCTCTTGCTTCTTTTCTTTTTTTTTGGTTCAAGAGAAGTTCCTTAAATAAGTGTTACTACAAGATACATCGGAAAACAGTTTCGAAGTAGGGAATGTGACCCAGAAATCTAGAACAAGATAGAACCACTCCTTGCTAATGTACTTTAACTTATCCAACATTATAAACTGACTGGGAAAAGTCAAGTTTCCATAGTGCCCTGGAAAATCTCAAAAACTCCCATGGCATGTTTCACAAACACCATGCTTGTTTGCATAACCCTGAAACCCAACAAGAAAGTACCTTTGAGACACAAAGAAAAAAATGAAAAAAAGCAATGGCCGAGCACGAGTAAACATTGATGTCTTTCATTAAATTTAGCATGTGAAATAAGTCAATGACGAAGAATAGCTGGAATAAGGCGGGACACAAAAGACATATATACTAAAACTCAAACCTGATATTTTGAACGTTTAGCTAGCTATTTCCTGAGGAGCATTTGCACTCTGGGAAGAAAAAGTTACATTAGTCAAGAAGACCACATATAATCCAACAGAACAAAGCAAAAATGGGACAAAAAACATTACATAACTAAGCATTACAAAACCTTCACCCGTAGATGATCTCCAATTTTGCCAACAGTTTGTCCAACACTAGAAAGACAACATTCTTGCAAAGCTCTTAAACAAGTCATCTCCACCATTTTCAGCTGAAAATTGAGACAGACATGAATCGTGGATGATAGTACATCGACCATGTATCAAATTTAGAATCGTTAGAAAGATCAAAATTATTTTTTAGATATACGTACATAGTGACATGATTATCGGCATAAAGTATAAAACTTCACTAAATACAAGGTAGAATCAATGAGATAAAACGAGTCAAAAGTTAAATTTTAAATTATTAAAATTGTGGAACCCTGTCAAACATCAGGATGTTTAAAAGAAATTATCTCCTATGCACAAGCTACCAGTTATTTTCGATATATACAGGAAACGATATGACTAGAGGAAGAAGATATTCGTACGTATTGAGAAGCAACAGATAAACACTCCTTACTAACCACAGGTAGCGTCTTGCAGTGCTTAGTATTCAGTGGCTACCTCTTTCTTGAGATTGGTAAGCTTTCCATCAATCTTTGACCAAGAAAAAGAAAGTCATTTTCAAATGAAACCGCCCAACAAATTATCAACATGTAAACATATACCTGCTTTCAAATATCAACCAACTACATACAAGAATTCTTAAACAAAGACATTAGCGCATCAACTACATGCAACGGATTTGGTCATAAAAGGTGGGGATCAATTTGTAAACCCGTAAATAAAGAGTCAAAATCATTACAATAGTCACACACTAATAAAAATACACACAGATATATATAACAAAAATACACACACTGACACATAAAAAACAAACACACATTGAATCACGAAAGGCACACACATAGACACTTAGATAATATAAAAATATTCACCAGCAGCACCACACACACTACACACAAAAAAACATTAAAACAAATTGAAAAATGAAAAAATACACACAGTGTGATAAAAACAACCCCAGCCACACCCCACCTACACACAATCCACCTAAAAGCACATACACAAAAATATGTTGATAAAAGAAAATGCACACACATAAAAACAAATTGATGAAAAATACACATACACTAATAAAAACACACGGATGCACAAACTAGACACAAAAACATATTGATAACAAAAAATACACATACTGATACATAGTAAAACGTAAGAATAAACACACGATAAAAGAAAAATACATGATGCACAATAAAACACACACAGACACACTAATAAATATAGACTTTGAGTGATCTATCTATGTCCAACCGACATTGACTTAGAGGGAACTACTAGAGCATATACCTTCAGTTGGTTGAAATATATGAATGGAATTTTCAATTGATTTGTTGAAGAGTGCAGGAGAAGTCTTATTATTAGGATGATGGTGGTGGTGTTTGCATTTGTGGAGTAAGTGAGGGTTAAAGATGAGTACTTACCAAACCCGCTAATTTGTAAACAAATTGGCTACTAATAGATAAGGATTATCACTCCTACATGTAACATTGGTCTTGCCTCTAGCTATTCCTTAGGGTAAAGTATAACTAAGAAGGATATCTCATACCACAACTAGAAAATATTATAAGTACTGTTCACATTGTTATATGGCCTCCTTTGTTTCTAGAGATTAAAAAAGACCAATGACCGAGAAAATCTAACATGAATATTAAATAAGCAACAATGCGACTCACATCATTATAGGCACATATGAATAGTGTGATTTTATGAAGATGGACAATGTTTCCAACAACCCTTATGCAAAAATGATTTTACCACGATGCAAACAAGAAACTTTAACATGATGACCAGATTGAGATAAATTAAAGCAAAACATTACCTGAGATTGTAGGCCAATGAAATTGTGTATAAAAGGTATGAACGGAAATAACCAATTTTCGGAAGGCACTGAAGGTGCTTGTAAGACTTGCTGGTAAACTTAAGACACAAACTACTCTAGTAGCTCTATCATCTTCACCATGTTTACATTATCAATGCGCGAGTGCAAATCACACAAAGCAAGAGATGACAAATTCAAAAGTTAGGCAGGTTGTGGGCAGATTAATGATGAGTTGGGTGTAATCCATTTCCAGGTCATTTTCAACTTGTTTAACGAATGAGTTATAACTAATTTGGTCATTTCCTTAAACCCATAAATAAATTGTCTAAAACATTAAAATAATCACATACTATAAAAATTCACACACATATACACATAAAAGGAACACACTAAAACACAAAGAATACACATAAACAACATTAAAAATACACATAGTAATAAACGCACACTAACACATTAGTAATAAACGCACACTTAACACATTACACAAATCAAAAACACATTGGGAAAATAAAGATTTCACGATACCTAAGTGATCACATTGGATCCTTAGGGAACCATCAAAAATACGGCCGGCCTATATTCGAACGACAACGCCGTGTCGTCCAGCGAAGCCACAGACATTACAATAAAAACATACATAAACAAATACACAAAAACAAATTGATAAAAGAAAACACACAACAACATTGATTAGAAAATGCACATACACTAATAGGCACACACACATAAACCCTAATAAACACGGACAAAAACAACATAAAAATGGACAAAAACATAGGGATAAAAGAAAAATACGCACACTATTACTCAGTCAAATGCAATAACAAATATAACACGCATTGATAAAAAGAAGAATATAGGATACACAATAACTATGTCTTGCCGTGTAAAAGACACCTACATAACTTCTAACAATGCGATAGGGCACATATACACATAAAATGAACGTACTGACACATAAAAATCACACACTAAAACACAAAGAACACACATAAACAACATTAAAAATACACACATTACACAAATCAAAAACACATTGAAAAAATAAAGATTCCACGATACCTAAGTGATCATATTGGATCCTTGGGAACCATCACAAGTACGTCAGGGCTATATTTGAACGATAATGTCGTTTCGTCCAGCAAAGCCACAAACATCACAATAAATAAATACATAAACAAATTGATAAAAGAAAACACACACAACAACCCTGATAAGAAAATACACATACACTAATAGACACACACACACACATAGACTCTAATAAACACGCACAAAAACAACAAAAAAATACACAAAAACATAGGGATAAAAGAAAATACGCACACTATTACGCAGTCAAATGCAATAACAAATATAACGCACGTTAATAAAAGAAGAATATAGGATACACAATAACTATGTCTTGCCATGTAAAAGACACCTCCATAACTTCTGACAATACGATAGAGCACATATACACATAAAAAGAACACACTGACACATAAAAATCACACACTAAAACACAAAGAACGCACATAAACAATATTAAAAATACACATAGGAATAAAAGCACGCTAACACATTACACAAATCAAAAACACATTGGGAAAATAAAGATTCCACAATACCTAAGTGATCATATTGGGTCCTTGGAAACCATCACAAGTACGACCGGCCTATATTTTAACGATAATGTCGTGTCGTCCAGTGGAGCCACAAATATTACAATAAAAGCATACATAAACAAATACACAAAAACAAATTGATAAAAGAAAACACACACAACAACATTGATCAGAAAATGCACATACACTAATAGACACACACACACATAGACCCTAATAAACATACACAAGAACAACATAGAAATGCACAAAAACATAGAGATAAAAGAAAAATACACACACTATTACGAAGTCAAATGCAATAACAAATATAACGCACGTTGATAAAAGAAGAATATAGGATACACAATAACTATGTCTTGCCATGTAAAAGACACCTCCACAACTTATGATAATGCGATAGGGCATAAAAGCTTTGAAACAAGCCAAAGAATAATTTCGTTTTTCAGTACATTTAATATTTCAATAGGATCCTTCTATAAACCAAATGTCACGAACTATCATACCTTTTTTACAATACCCTATTCAGATCATTCCTTTAGTACTTGCACAAATAGAAGCTGCAGAACATAGCTTTCAAGAATCACCCAGCAAGATGGGTCCGGACTATTCCTTTCTACTTTGCTTTCAATCCTTCCTTGTTTAGGTCTAGAATCTTTTATTTTGGAACTACAAAAATCTTTTATTTTTGATTGACGTGGATTCAAATCTTGTTGAGAAATACCAAAGGCAAGATAAATAACAGTTCAAGAAAAAAAGCCAAAAAATAAAAAGTTAGGAATGTACCTTTACACCCTTTTGACATGAAATAGAAATTTGGATTATCTTGCTTATGTTTGAAATTCACAAAAATAATGAAAGTCTTGTGATAAAGATTTTGAATAGACCACACTATAATAAGAAGGGGTGAACAACATAAGTTCAAATGGTCTTACTTCGTTTCTTCAACACCGCCCATGTCTCTCCTGCATTTCAGGAGAACAAGGTACTTTTAGGGTCTCCATTTGTGAAGTTCTTTGGTTCCTTGGAGACTGCATTGGCATCCATTGGCTTACCATTTTCTGAGGACAAGCTGTTGCTGCAATTGCTAGCATCATCTTTTAGCTCAAATTTTCCACCATTTGTTGACACATCTTCTCTCTGTCTTGAAGGCTGGAGATAAGTGTTTTATTTGTACATGTTATGTTAGCAGAAAAAATCAACCACAGGGAAGTCTGATGGGGAAGCAAGAAATAAAATAATGATAATGAAACATGTTTCATGATTCATCAATATTCTACACAAGAACACAAACATAAACTAAAAAAAAATTGATGAGAAAGAAAGCACCTAACATGCTGAATGACTTTATAATAGCCCTGCATAAATACATTAAAACTCATTCAAGAAGTAGAATAGTATGACATCTTAAAATAAGAAGGATAAAAATATCACTTTCCAAATAGACACCTGTTATTCTCTAGGTCGGAGAATTCAAAGGCAAATTCTGGCTTCTCATCAATTCCAAATTTTCAAATAGTCAGCAGGAATGGCATCCAATTGAAATGACCACTTCTTCCGAGACAAACTATACTCCTCGTAAAGAAATTTGTCATCTAAGAAGCTAGAACTTACTGATGAACAGGCATTTTATTTTTTAATAAATTGATCTTGTGGGGTAAAAAGAAAAAATCAGACATAAATGCAGATATTGCTAAAATGTTGCAATTCAGCTAAAAACCACTCTGTTGTTGTAATTCAAAAAGTATGAAAAGCACACATGGAGAAATGACACCACTGATTAGTCGTTCATTTCAAATCATCTCCACAAACAAATTTTTTATTATCTTGTCTTAAATAAGTAAGTTGATGATAAGATGGTATGCCTGAAGCTAAAATTAAAATAAAGTTTTATTCATATTAGAGCTAAAGCCTTAGAGTACATCAACTGAGCTTTCATCCAATTAACTGGCAACTACCAATTCGATATTGCATTTTCAAAATTCTTATCATCCATTTAACCATAGCCCATGCATATCAAGTACATAGAGGTACTTCTCAACGTCAGCGACACCTATGGTGTTAGACCATCCAGCCCAAACCACTTGGCAATGGTTGCAGTGGCCTTCAAGTATATAAACCAACCTCGATGGTCCTAATTGTTCGATGTGGGATACAAGCTCTCTTAATACCCTCCCTCACACGCGGGCAAAAACAGTCGCTTTATGAATGTAAAGACATTAATTCACTAATCCACTAACAGTCAACTGATTCCAAGATGTGTAGCAAAGGTAAACACCACATCTTTATAAATTTGCATCTATAGATGGCAATTTGTTGGGAAAACAACTCAAAAGAAGTAAATAACCCTATTGAGTCAACCAAACTCCAAGGATTTACATCAATGACTTAGACAAATTAATGAACTGGACGCGGTGGAGGCTGGTGAATTAAATCAATGATTTGGACAGACCAATTAACTTGGTCATGGTGGACAAACCAAACACCTCCGTGAAATAAAAACATCAGACGATATAATCAAGAACCTACCAAACATCAACAAAACTAGAGAAATTGTTCCAACAGATATGTATGGAAAAAGATTTGAAGTCCTTAACCATAATCAAAGATCAATATAACTGATAACTCAATCAAGAAGTACCTTGAAATTTTTAAACGAAGTATCTAGAAAATTTGGGTTTTGTAGGGGGTTTGCAGCTATTTTTTTGTGGTTGTTGGCAGGTTGGATTCTTGTCGGGGGAGGAGTCTGCAAGGAAAGAGGTGGCTTCCCAAGAAAAAAGGGGGGGGGGGTGCCAAGGCGGGGAGACTGCCCCCTTTCCTCTCTCTCTATTTCATCTCTTTTCAATTTTGAGAATTTGGAGGGTCAATAAGTTTGATTCTAAAGGATAAATAAATCCTCTTAAAAGTTAAAATCTCCAACCAAAAGTCAAAGGGTGTCATTGTAATTTACCTAGAGCTAAATATTGATCTGTACCATCAACTGTTGTGATGGCTCTCATTTCTCAAAAGGCCCATTGTGGACAATGGATTTTCAATAGAATTAATGCTAATGCTATCTTTATTCCCTAGAATTTTTAATTATGTGGGAGTCTAGACAATGGACAACCTAAACCCCTATATTACATATCAAGGTAATTTTAGGATCAGATTTCAGCAGATTATGCATGTTTTTGGTGAACAGTAATGTAAACTTCTCTAAATAAGTCCAGCAGCATGAGATCAGCTCACTGATAGTTTAGCTGTCCCATAATTTCAGATGGAACACCAGATTTTTTTTTTGAAGACCAGAGCAAGAACTAGATTAAGTTGTCATGTTACTTTCCATCTAAATGATCCTTAAATATCCAATCAAAAGCATGACAAAGTTCCAGAACAGTGTACAATTGAGCCTAAAAAACAGAGATTCAGCAAGTGATAAGACACATAAGGTCTCAATTCAGGAACAGTAATAAGAGATAAAAGCCACTCACCCCTGCATCAACAGCAATAGGCCAACCAAGGTTGTCCATCTCAACTTCGAGTTCATAAATGCTTTTGTTAATCAAAGGCGTAATACCTGGTATTCTCTCCCTAATTACACATACCGAGTGCAAATAGTAAAAAACAAAAAGCACACATCTAGTTTACCTTTTTTGTGATCAATAAAAACATAATAATTTGAACAAATAAGATGCACAAAATTATACCTACGAGAGAAGTTTGGCAAGGTACTTTGAACCCATTTCACTAGCTAAGTTCCATATTCAGGACTTACAGTGAAGTATTTGCATTCTTTCCACGTTGCAGCAATCAAGTCAATATTTTTATTTATATCAACTTGTGAACGGTTCACAATTCCCACCCAAGGATGTTGCAACCAATATGATCTTCCTACAAAAACATTCCGTGGGGAAGAAGAAGAATGTCAATTATCTAAACTACTAAATATGAAAATAAAAGTAAACATAAAAACAAAAAGAGGAAACTCTTGATCAAGAAGTATATTGTCTAATGTTGTATCAACTAAACTGTTGACATAAAAGGAGACAACAGAAAATTAAGGATAAAGGATGCATCCAAATGTCCATTCACGTGGGCAAGCCACATATGTTGTCATAAGGAGAAAACTGCATAATATAAAGAATTTACGTAGAGATTCATAAATTGACTGCAAACAAGAGGCAAACAGAACATACCCAATGGATGCACTTTCCTAGAAAGATGGTGCCATATCTTGATTGGCAGGGGAAATTGTTAGTGTAATGCTGTTGGGCTACGGCAAACATAGTTTCATCAATTTCAACGGTCCAAAAACTGTACAACAGAAGAAATTTCTATAGAAAATGACAATGCATCAACAAGGATGGTACATGTAGACAACAAATGAAATAGATAAACAGAAGATGAAATAGAGGAAGTTAATGGCACAAAAGCGAGTATCATATCTGTGGAACAACAAAAAACTTCTCCACTAGTTGTAATAAGCTGCAATAACTTCCACATCATGAAAATCTAAAAATCAATAGTATATTGGAATGCTGGAAATCCCATAGACAAAAAAGGCATAAGGAGGAATAAGGCAAAAATGCATCAGATTATGGAGATTTGTTAAACCTTAAGAAGTACTAAGACATTCAACTAAAGGGAGCACACTTGGATTGAAAGTGAAAATTTATCTTGTAAATTGGAAGTGAAATGTTTACAAGCTTGTTGGAACACAGCAATTTGAAACCTAAACTGACTTGGGAGGTATCCAGAATTCTGCAATAACTTCCACAGCATCATGAAAATCTAAAGATCAATAGTTTATTAGAATGCAAGAAATCCCACAAAAACAAAAAATGCATAAGGAGGAATAAGGCAAAAATGCATCAGATTATGGACATATGTTAAATCTTAAGAAGTACCAAGTCATTCAACCAAAGGGAGCACACTTGGAGTGACAAATTTCCAATGTAGGAATTTTTCTGGGTAAGTTAATTTAGGTCTTAAAGGCATCCATTTCAAATCTTATTAGCAATGGGTGGTGAAGAGGCCCCCAAGGCTCATATACAAGTTTGGTTCATGCAGTTATATTCATGTGGGATAAGATATAGCATGCAACCCGCTCTTGAACATGGACAGTCGGAAATAAAAACCACAAGACACTCAGATATATAAGAAGGTGCACTTATGGAACGAACAAAGGGAGAACCAAATACCAAATCAATGAAGTTGAGAAACGAGTCTTTCCTAAGACCTCCCTAACTCTCCCAAGATAGTGTGTCAAAGGCATCCACTCAAAACCAGTGAGGTGGAAAGGCTCACAAAGGTATACTAGTTTGAAAGATGCCATAATGTCAAAGTGAGATAAGCTCTAACAATGAGTGTATTGTATTTACAAGAGATGAATTATAGTACCTTCTCAACATAAGATCGAACAATGGTTTCAATGTCTTGAACAATACTTTCCAGCTGACCCTCTGCAAAGAATAAACCTTTTTTTATTAAATGGAATTCAGCTCACTTACGAGATCCAAAACATCATAAACTAAATATAGGAGATACCAGCAGCCGCTTTCGTCAAACCAGGCAAATCTATCAAGAGAAAAAATATAAAATGGAGTTAGTGAAAGAGAGAAAATAAAAAGTTGGCTAGCGGGAATATAATATCATTATACTGATATAGAGCACGAAATTATAGACTATTTTATGTCATTCATGTGCACACATATATGGAAAGCCAGAAAGAGTACCTCTTTCTTTCCAATCCGTGTGCAGAAGAGCAATTGAGACAGTTTGGCCTAACTGGATAGTCAACCATTGCTTTGGAATTGTGATCTTGAGTGTCTCAGAAACCATACCACCATAAGATGAAACATTTGACCCTACCTCCTAAAGTGGCCCTCTCCACAGCGGTCAATGGGTGAGGCAGCTGGGTTTCCCCACTTTCTTCACTTCCTGGGAAACTTTCCGGAAGAAATCCAAAGTCCGATCTGAAGATTCCATGTCCACCAATCTCAGAACAGTCTTTTTACTCCATGACGGAACCTTTCTAAGGCTTCATTGGCAGGCTCCAGCTATTGCAGCTTGCAGAGTTGGAAACTGCTTCAGCTCCTGTTCCATAAAAGGAAAAAAAAAACACACTGCAAAACAAAAGTATTCATTATCCCCCGGGTGCATCTCTCGATTAGAAAACAATGGGATGAAGTTTTAATGTCACCTGACATTGTCCCATTGAATTCCTGACAAGTTCCTTTAAGATGAAGCGAACTAAACATGGATGCGTTGAACGAATTGCAGTTAGAGGGTGAGAAAGGTTGGATAAACAGTACAGGAAATGAACTGCTAAAATAGAAAGGGTTAATCGTAAATTACACGCTAAAAATATGTTCGAATTTTAATTTATATTTTTAAAGATTAAAAATATAAATTTATATTCTCAAAAATAAAAATTTATATCAATGTACACCCCCAAATATCAAAAACTTTAATTTTCACACTCAAAGATATAAATTTATATCAATGTGCATTCGCAAAAATAAAAAATCTCAATTTATACCTTCAAAGATAAAAATTTGTATCAATGTGCACCTAAAACTAAATTGATAAATTATACCTAAATCTCTTATGTTTGTCACTTAATCATTTGGATCCCTTCACATTTAGAATATTGTTCCTACATCTCATAACGTTTGTGCACGTATAACACGTAACATTTTTTCGTTGATATCTGTTAATATAACCGTTAAAAAATATAATTTTATCCTAATAAAAAATTATAATTTCATATTATCCTTTATTTTATGGATTCAATATACTATAAAATTTAAAATCAAGTTTACCATTTGAATGTCTAATAGAATAAAGGGTTACACATTGAGTGATATATTGCATTAGATATAAAAAATATTATATAAATATCTACATTCTATTTAACATTCGAATGATAAACTTAATTTTGAACTTTATAATATATCGGACCCACAAAATAAAGGGTAATATGAAAAAGAGTTACGTGTTACACGTGAACAAACACCATGAGATGAAGGAGTAATATTTTAAATGTGAAGGGATCCAAATGATTAAGTGATAAACATGAGGGATCTAGGTATAATTTATCTATTTAGTTTTAGATTTTTGATCTTTGGGAGTGCACATTGATACAAATTTCTATCTTTGAGGGTACAAATTGAGATTTTTGATCTTTGGGGGTGCACATTAATACAAATTTCTATCTTTGAGGGTATAAATTGAAATTTTTGATCTTTGGGGGTGCACATTAATACAAATTTCTATCTTTGAGGGTACAAATTGAGATTTTTAATTTTTAAGAATGCACATTAATACAAATTTTTATTTTTGAAGATATAAATTAAAATTTTTAATATTTAAAAATTTAAATTGAGATTCAAACTATCCTAGGGCAAATTAAAATTCGAACTACTTGCAGCAGATTCTCGTACTATAAAGTACATAGCTGAAACATAAACAATAGAACTTTACTTTCCGAAAAAAACATAAACAATAAAACTTAAGAGAAATTACCTTTCCGAGCTGCTAAAATAGAAAAGAACTATTTTCTTGTACTGTAAAATACATAGCTGAAACATTAACAATAGAACTTAAGAGAAATTACCTTCCCAAACCAATCTGCAACATCGCAAAACAGTCCATCCATAGAAGGCATTGAAATTTTTTCCAGATATTTTAATGTATAATCATTCATTCATAAGACAAAAAAATATATTAATTAAATCAATTCATGGAACTCACCTTCAAATTTAACAAATTCTCAAACTCAGAATATTTATCCACAATCAAATAAATATACATACAAATTCCTCTCAAAAAGTATTAAATAAAACCCATATAAATGCCATTGGTGTTTACGAAGAGACGACCGTCGTTTCTGTCGAATCGTTAAAGATAACAGATAGAAAGAGTTATTGAGATTAAAGGAGAAGAGAGGCTTTGGCTTACATTTATAGTTTGTGGACAATCGATTAGGAAACCAAGAGAGGAGAAGACAGGTTTGGGTGTGAGCTAACGGCTAACTCGAATTAGGAAACCAATTGAACAGTGTTGCCTATGGGAAAATTACACTTTGACCCCTTGACGATTCCATATTTTTCATATTATACTCTGAGCTATGTGATTAGTTTTAAATTGCTCTAATTATTAAAATCCATTACATATTTAATGAAAATTTATTTAATCTTACCCCCGAAATTATTTACTTTTTCCACTTTGTCTTGACACATCAGTAACTTTTGAATGATCATATTATGCTTAAGATGAAAGATAAAAAAATATTATTATTTTTTAAAATTCCAATATAATATATTAATACACGTCTATAATTACATTGATACAATATTATTTCTAATGCCAAAAAATAAATATATATACATACATATATATATATGTATGTATATAATTTTTCTCTTCATTTACAATCAAAAAGAATTAGTAAAAAACTATTGAGTCACAAAAAAAAAACAAAAAAGACAAAAAAAAAATCTACAAAAGAAAAATCTATAACTTTTACTAATCGGTAGTTCGAATAAAAAATACAAAAAATGAGTTCAATTGATGTTTATAATTATAAAGATAATACTAACAATTTAAGTATAATAAATATAAGATAATATATAATTTGCTATATTATTAGTTTTTTTATGTGTTTTATCAAATATTTTAATAAAAAAATTCACGTGTAACGCACATGATGTATTACTAGTATATATAAAAAGAGGTCTGTCCAACAAGCTCGTCCCGCGAATGACAGACTAGGTTGGGGGCAGTCTATTCCTACCCAAAGCTCAAACAGCTATGTAAAACCTAGAAATTTAAAATATTTGATAAAAAAGGGTAATACGATAATTAAGCACTTTAAGCATAGGTTAAAACTTGAATTTTATGTAATTCAAATGACGAAACAGACATTACTTTTGAATTGGCCTCACAAAATTAAGTTGGACAATCAATTTTCGTTGAATTCCTAGACGGTTAGAATTTTCACACATTACAAGGTAAATCGGAAATACAAGATTAAAATTCAAAGCAATTGAGATTTAGTCACGAGATTTTTTTTGTTTGTCTGGTAGGAAATACAATAAATTTATAACATAATAGCATCTCTAACCATGATTTAAATTTACGATCAAATTTGAATAAAAAGTTTGATTTGACAGTACTCTAATAGATAAACTCAAATATTTTAAAAAAATTTCTTATTGTTCAAAAACTTATTTTTTTGTGTCATTCAAATAATGATATTTGATAAAATAAATCAAACTTTCGTATCCCTTCGCAAATGGATAATTAAAAAAAAAAATTAAATATGAATACAATACCACCTGGAAATAAAAAAAATAAAATAAAACTACCCCAAAATTCTCTAATCTCTTATCTTTTTTGGATAGAATACACCGATAGTCCCCAAAATATGCGTGTGGTAAAATACAACGTTATTGTTTCATTTATATATCTATATAATAAAATAGAGCTATTTTTTAAATTTCAAAGATTAAAAACAGCTTAGATCATTTCGTGATAAAAATAAGACATCATCCGAGTTATCTCAACTTTTCTCAAAATTGTTTCATTTCAGCAGACTGTAGAGCAATGAATCTAGCTTAAGCAAAAAGGGTATAAAAATTACCAAAAACTGTACCTTACTTAAAAAGGACCTGTTATACAGGTAGGGCTCCTACCTCTCTATCATCCATGACTTCTGAGATAGGAACCTAAGAAGTTGCAAGGTATAACTTACGAATGAAAAGCATTAATTTGATTGTGGTAGTCCCCACTCTGGACGAACCTGGAGGTGGTGAAATCTATTCTTTTTGACAAAAGAAAATTTATAAAATAAAAATTGTGAAGGCAAAATACCATCATTGTCGCTTCTCAAAAGACAACTACAAAAGTGTGAGTTCATTACAAAGCATTATTTCCCAAGTTCCCGCTTGTCAATAACATTGCCGTTACATAAATCATGCTTTATTGAACACTTATTGAGCCTTCTTTCTAGCATCTGAGAAAGACAACGTCAAGAAAGCAAAAGAAGGAAATACATGAGGAAAAAAAAAAAAAAGAAGAGCATGGTGTAGAACACAACCAACAAATCAAACTTATAGGCGAGATTTTGCTTGCCCCACTGGAGAACTCTGCAATGAACGCGTACCGACATTATTAGAAACGCAATATTAGCAGGCAAAGCAGGCACGCGGAGGAAGTATAAGTTACAATCAACAAAAAAATCAAACATTTACTCATAGGCCAGAGCCTTCTGCAGGCAGGCTGCAGGCTCCATGTATTAACATAATGGTCAGCCATTTTTACACAATTTGGCCAGTTACCAAAACCATCATGGCTCAACATGTGATGTACTCCAATCTAGCGATGAATTGCAGACATGCAAGTATGATTCAACTGAACATTACAAAATTGATTTCATTCCAAGAAGTTCTAATTTTTGGTAGATCAAATTTGTAAAGCAAAAACATGGAGATGGTTAGAACCTCTAGAATAATTGAATCATATTATCATTTCTTGAAAGGTTGATCTCGTGGACAAGACCCAATAGATGGTGGGCGCCCGATCCAAATAGCATGAAAGTTATTTAGACTGGCTGAGTACATGTGACCACATGTTTGCACCAGACCGAAGCTTTTACATGACTATTAAACACAAAAATTTGCAACTGGAAATTTGTACGGGAAGACTCCCCAATCAAAAACAGACAAAGGTGGATCTATCGGATAAGATAATGTCCAATGGTCATGAATAACTATGACCCTGTTTTAAATGCTCAGATTTATTTCATGAATTATTAATCATATCACCCACAGGAGTCA